AAGCGGGAGGTGTGCGCCGCCCACTGCTCGTGCCAAGAGGACGCACCACCTTGGAAAGGGACGGGGCAGCCCTGCTCTTGTGCTCTCTGTGAGCTGATTGGACAGCAAGAGGGCTGCCAGGGACGGGCAGGAGACAGGGCAGCCGAGAGGCTGGGTCCAGGATCAGATACCAGCTCCACGGCCCCCACCTGGGCTTAGACTCAGGGATCGCCCGGCACACACCAGACTCTGCGTCCCCTCCCCACAGGACCCCCCCCCTCCGCCCCCGCAGTTCGGGGACACAGGTACCTCTGGTCAGGCCCATGATCCACATGGTGTCCAGAGCGTCTACCAGGGTGAGGCCCAGGCCGAACCACTCGCTGAAGGACCTGGACAGGGGCCTCAGCTCGTCGTGGCCCCACGCGTACTTGCAGTAGCCCTTCCACGCGTGGCGGAAGGCGTCCACCACGGCCTTCTGGCGTGGGTTCGAGGGGCCTGCAGGGAGGGATGGGGGCTCAGTGGGGCTGGAGGGGCTTAAGCCCATTCCCCAGGCAGAGACCACACCCCTGGGTGCCTGGAGTGGGAGGAAGGCAGGCCACCATGGCTCTACGTCCAGACCACAGCAGTAACAGGTGATGACCCGGGACCCAGCAATGGGACCCTGAGCTGGCTCGCCCACTGGGGCCGCAGCGTCCTGTCTGTCTGTCACATGATCTACGGGAGGAACTGGAAATGGGCTCACCTGGACTATCCCAGCCCTGGGACAGTGCCACCTGGGAGTGGTCTCAGGAGACGGCCAGGCTGTCCTGACGGTGAGCAGAAGTCACAGAGCCCATGTGGGGTCGCCGCGAAGTCTGGGTCGGTGGGACACTGGACTAGGGCGGGGCTGGCACTGCCCAGGTGGCCCTCTCTCTTCATGGCCTAGGTATGGTAGCTGCAGCCCCAGCCCCAGCCCCAGCCCCAGTGGCCCAGGCAGAGCGATTAACTCCACCAGCCCTGCAGGCTACTGTCTCCGCCCCAGCTCAGACCCCAGTACCAGTGGGGGCCCCTCAGTTCTCCTAGGCTTTAGAGGGAAGTGGGATTAACACCCAGAACATGCAGGAGATAAAGTGACCCTGCCCCACTGCCTAGCTAGACCCAGGTCCCACACCCTGACCAGGCAGGCACTGGATGGACTCACAAGGTGGCAGAAGTCCTACCTGCTGGCTTCTGAGTCCTGGCTTGGGGGGCTGGTGGCGGTGGGGAGGGACCAGCTGCTTTCCTGGACAGGGGCTCTGTCCCCTGCTCCGGCTCAATCATTGCTCCTCTCCAGCTTCGGCAGGACAGTGGCCAAAGTCAGCTGAGTGGCCAGCACCACCCACCACCCAAGTGCCCTCAGGGCCATGCTGATGCCTGGTGTTAGCCCTGCTCCCAGCAGAGGCCTGGGGTGGGGGTGGGGGCGCAGAACGGAACCACCTCCCCTGCATTCCCCATGGCTGTGAGCTCCCCAGAGGGCTCGCCACCAGCGGGGGCCGGACCAGGGAGCTGGGCGTTTCATCTGCAGCTCTGCCTCACCCATACCCCACGTGGTACCTGATGATGGTCCTGGGTGGGCTTTCCTCCTGGTGGCCATCACCTGGCCGCCCCCTCTCCTCGTCCAGGCCGTCTTGATGCTGGGCCTTCCCGCCAGTGTCAGGGGCCCTGCTCTGCAGGTTGGGTGGTCCCCGTCGCAAGTGCTTCCGAGGAGGGCCCTACACACAATCCAGTCACAGGGTCACTGGGGTGGGGGATGCCCCTCCTCCGCTCCACCCACCTCTGGTGCTGTGGCTGCCTGCCACTGGAGTCGGGAGTTTCCTTCACTCTGAACAGGACATGCAGCCGACACTGACCCTGCCTCATAGCCCATGCCCACGAGAAAGAGGACCCCACCCTGCTGGAGCTGGCCCACACCGTGGGCAGAGATCAGACTTACAACAAGAGACTGGGGACACAAATCCAGGACCCCTACCTGTACGCCCTGAGACCGCATGTCCGACCACATAACAAACGCCTGACCCGCCACATGCAGCCCCGTCCATGCTGGCTCAGCGCCCTGGAGCGCAGGGCAGGCTGCCCCATGGGCTTCTCAGCACGGGAAAGCCTCTTCTTTCTCCCCAGGAGTCGCTGGTAGGTCTGAACCACCCAACGCTTAACCCACGCCACCACCTGGACTCCCTGTGCCCCCATGCCATCCTCCAAGTCCTTCTGGTCTGCTACCAGTCCTCTTCATCTGAGCACAAGCCCTGCCCTGGAACCCTGCTCCTGCCCCTCAGACAGGCAGCCTCACGCTCTGGAGCCAGGCTGGTAAGGCTCCCATGCTCGGAAATCTAGAGATGTGGGCCCCAATGTTGAGCTCCAAGGGGAGGGCCGGCCTCCTGTGGTCCTGGCGACAGTCCTGCTGAGCCTGTTTCTGGAGCTCTGTCCCCTTTGGCTGACGCCAGGGGTTCTGTTGTTATGGGAGGTGCAACCCATCGCTCAGTAGCTTAGTCTCTTTGACCAGATGTTGGAGAGCCACGTCCCTGACGAACTGTCCAGGACATGCGCCCCTCCTCGTCCAGAGCCGTCCCTGCACCTCCCCAGGCACAGCTCCTGCTCGGGACCTTCCGTTCCTCTCATCCTTTCCTGTGAGCCGCACGGAGAA